AAATCAATGTGAGTCAATGCCTGTATAGCTATCCTTATCTCACCAGCAAAAACCCTTGTTCCTTCCTATTTATTGCTTATACTCTCTCTACACAAAATTAGGAATAAGGGCAAAATAGTTTTCTGCTGGGTATTGAGGGGGGGGAAGGGAGGGGGTGGAGTGGGTGGTAAGGGAGGGGGTGGGGGCAGGGGGGAGAAATGACCCAAGCCTTGTATGCACATATGAATAACAAAAGAAAAATGAAAAAAAAATCCCCATTCTACTTAGAATAGTTCTTACCTGTTTTAACTTATTTGGTTCTAATAATCTTATACGGTAATTTGATTCCAATTTTGCAGATAGGGAAGCAGGCAGGAAGGTTACTTTGCCTGGGAGTAGAAGGTGGGCGTCTGCATGAAGTCTGCACCCTTGACTGTTATACTGCATTGCCTTTCAGTTAATGCCTGATGCCCAGCAAGTGGTCAATAACCATAGCTACAACCTGAGTAGGGCTTCCTTTTCCCTTCCCTTGGTTAGCCAAGAAAAAGGCTTGTCAACAAAATTACATCTGGCTTACTGAGGGAGTACCAACATGAAAAATCAGCTCTGGGAGCTTCAGAGTGCTCTGGACACTGCCATGTCTTAACCAGAGTCTGACTGTAATTGCCAGGGAGTCTTTGTTCTCGCCAGGATGCCTTGAGTGACTTACCTGCTCATTTCACTTCGGAAGGGCAGGTGTTACAACACAGCCAGGCTTTATTCTTTCAGTGCTGGAGATCAAACCCAAGGCCTTATGCAGGGTAGGAACTCTGCTACTCAGCTACGTCTCCAACCCCTTAGCCAGGCTTTATGATCAGAGGTTACTCCAGAATCAGGAAGACTTTTAATCGTGAGTCCTCTAGGGCATGCTGCTGCAAGAGGAGGGGGAGAGCAGGAGACAGGACAGTGATAGAAGATGAGGAGTCACTAACTAGCACTTCCACCACTGAGGCAGAGTTATTTATGTAGAGAGAAAGTGAAGTTGAAGAATATTTCAAGCAGTTCATCAATACGCTGAACTCTGTACTTCAGAGACAGAAAGTTCTCTAAAAGCAAGCTGAGCAAGTTAATCTGTACCCAGGGCATTTTAATAAATTTGCTAAGGAAATCAGTGTCAGCTCTTATTTTGCTTGGGAAGAGGATGTGTTCTTCCAAGGGGATAGTTGCCATTTATTTGATTGAAATGCTCAGTATATTTAAAACACTTGCAGTGTGGTCACCTGAAGTATTTCAGTTGCATAATTCAGTTGCTTAATAATACTAATTGTTACTAAGTGAATTACATAAACTATATGGAAGACTCCAAAGATAAATGTTAAAAGATTCATTAGTTTGACAAACATTTATAAAACACCTACTGTGTGTCGAGTACCATGCCAGACCCAGGGAATACAGCCCAGTTATATGTGATCCCATAGTCCAATGAAGTAGACTGACATGCTAGGAGATAAGGACAGTATAGGGTGTTCGAGGCTTCATGGAGATGAAACTATCCTTTTCTGTCTCTGCAGTGTCTGCAGCAGCTGCCGTCATCTATGCCTATGCCTGGCTCGTCCCTCTTGCCCTCTGGGGCTTCCTCATGTGGAGAAACAGCAAAGTCATGAACATCGTCTCCTATTCATTTCTGGAGATCGTGTGCGTCTACGGCTACTCACTTTTCATTTACATCCCCACAGCAGTAAGTACCACATATGAAGCAGACTCTCAGTGGTGCTCTGCTCTTGGCTAAAAATTTAACCAAGACTCCTAGCCACTCAGAAGGTGGAGATCGGTGGAAAAAAGTTCACAGGACCCCATCTCAGCCAATAGAAACTGGGTGCAGTACCTCACACCTCTCATACCATGTGGGAAACGTAAATAGGAGGATTGCAATCCAGGCCAACCTAGGCATAAATGTGAGACTGCTCAAGAAATACTAAAAGCAGAAAGGGCTGAGGGAGTGGCTCAAGTATTAGAGCACCTGGCTGGCAAGTGCAAGCCCTGAGTTCAAACCCCAGTGCCACCAAACCAAAAAGAAAAAAAATTCAACTAAGAATTCCACCAGGCATTGTTTTTTTCTAGCCTAATACTCATGTGCTCCTGACAAGCCCCTTTGAATTTAAAGTTCCGCCTGAACAGGGGCTAGAGGTCCAAGTTCCTTGATTTGTACATGAACCCTTGTTAGGAAAGCATTCACCTTGGTCTGCATGCTGGTGGGGTCAGGGGCTTTATAAATGTATGTGCTGGAATGAACAAATGCCTCTCTGAAGTGCTCTCTCTTGTCTCCTCTTTCAGATACTGTGGATCATCCCCCAGAAAGCTGTTCGTTGGATTCTGGTCATGGTCGCCCTGGGCATCTCAGGATCTGTTTTGGCAATGACATTTTGGCCAGCCGTTCGTGAGGATCACCGGCGCATTGCATGGGCCACAATTGTGACCATTGTGTTGCTGCATGTGCTTCTTTCTGTGGGCTGCTTGGTACGGTCTCATTCCTGTATTCTGTTGGTGTTTTTTTTATTTGTTCTGTTTTGTTTTCTTTTGGGCAGTACTGGGGTTTGAACTCAGGGCCTCACGCTTGCTAGGCAGGTGCTGTATCACTTGAGCCACTTCATCAGCCCTTTTATGTGTTGGGTTTTTACAAGATAAGGTCTCACAAACTATTTGCCCAGGCTGGCTTCGAACTGCAATTCTCCTGATCTCTGTCACCCGAGTAGCTAGGATTACAGGCATGAGCCACCAGTGCCTGGCTTCTTCTGGTGTTTTTTAATACACAAATGCTAAAAGACCTCGAACTATTCTTTTAAAACTGACTCCATGAACTAAACATCATTTTCGCTCTCTACAGGGGAAATGGTAAAGTTATAAGAATGTGATTGTAATCTCTGGGTTTGCCTTATTTCTGGAATCTGGTTAAGATGATGGAATCTGAGGCTGGAGGCATGGCTCAAGTGATGGAATGCCTACCTAGCAAGCTCAGGGCCCTGAGTTCAAGCCCCAGTATTAAAAAAATAAATAAATAAGTAAAGATGTGTCTAGCCAGAGCAAATGAGCAAATGTGGGTGGATGTAGGGTTGGGGGGCGGGGTCCTGCCTTTGGATGCTTTGTTGATTTTGAAATTTAGTTTCATTGGTGGAAAGCTTAAGAATGGAGTTAATATACAGGTAAGTGGAGTTGTTTTAAAGGTGGACAGCATTTAAAGGAGGTTTTTGGTTTCTTGTGTGGGTATCTTTATAGGAAGAGCATGTCAGGCAGACCTAGGCAGAAGGCCAGCTTTGTCACTTGCTGGCTGTGTGAGCCTGGCCATGGTCTGTACTTCTCTGAATCTTAACTTCTTCATCTATAGCATGAGTATCGTATTTCCCACCATAGTGTCTTTCTGAGGATCAAACAAAATAATACCAGAAAGCATTTAACATGGAACTTGTCCTACAAATGCCCCCAAATCAGGTCCCTTTCCATCTCTCCTGTGTTTTCCTTTTGGATACCTGGCTGGGAAGCTGGTGAAGAGGGAGAGGCAGGAAGGAAGAACACCCCTTTCTCAGCTCTGTAAGAAATAGAGAAGGCAGACCAGACAGTGGAGTAGGGAAGTATCATTTATTAAGCACCCCTTTCATGTGGTACCTGTAGCAGGATCTTTTACCTCCTAGGCCACTTCTCAGGTAAATGGCACTGAAGCTAGGATTTTCCTGCCCACTTGGCTGCTTCAAGAATTTCTAGAAGAGAGCATAGCTCTGGAAAAGAAGGAGCCCTGAACTGGTTGATGTTTAGCACTGTGAACCAAAGCAGTTTTACCTCAAAATCTCAGTTTCCCATCTGTCAGAGATCCAGGTCTTCCTGGGCTTTTGTGAGATTTGGTGAGATGGCTGTGGAAGCCCTTGTGTAAAAAGACTTTAGGGAAAGGGGCCCATGTCATCAGAAGCTTCCACAGCCAGACTGCTATATTGCTCCTTAGTGCCCCAATAGGAATGGCCATCCTTTCCCTTGCTTTGGTCATTTCTCAACTCTGGATCCTGCCTCCTTCCTTAGAAAAAGAAGCTTATCATGAATGCCATCATAGCCCAGGATTGAATGATACTTGCAACATGAGAAACATGACAAGTCATGCAAACAGAAGACAATATTTTTATTGGAAGTGCAGAGCCAGGAATGGACAGGGGAGTCACTTGAACTGAGGGGTACCACTAGCCAGACAGCTTGGCTTTCTTGGGAAACATGGGGTTGGTGTTTTTTGCCTGTGGCAGTGAAGCATGTGACAGCCTCATACCTGTGAGTGCCTCTGGGTGAGCGAGTGCCTCTGGGTGACTGCACATGTAGGTGATCTCTAAGTTTGTACTGAACACATCTGTCAGGGATAGCTAAAGAAGCTCCCAGAGGGTGCGTCCTTGGTTGGGATGTCGAGGGATGTACAAGCCCATGTTTGGGTGGTTGCTGCTGACAGTGGAGGGACTTACATTCATTTCTGAGGCTTCACAGTGCCTAGATCTGGGCTGTACATAGACCAGTGCCAAATCACAGGCTGTGTTGAACATAGAAGACCCTAGACCCTGGAGATAGTACAACTGGATTGGAATCCTGCTCAGACACAGTTGTGTACCTTGGCAAATCTCTCTCTGAGACCAGCTTTCTCTTCTTTAAAATGGTGATCAAATTGCCTCTTATAGGG